GTCGCGTGTGTTGTGTTCGGTGTGTGTGGTATGTGCTGTCGTGTGTGTGTGTGTGGTGTGCGCTGCTGTCGTGGCGTTTGTCGTTTTGTGGTGGGGAAGGGAGTCTGCCGCGCTGCGCCGTGGTGCAGGCTGTGGTGCATGCGGAGTGTGTGTGGTGTACGTGTGTTTCGTCTTCGCGTGTGTGTTGTGTGTGTGTGTGCACTTGTGTTGCTGGTGTGTGCGGCTGCCGTCCGCTGTGTGTGGCGTGTATCGTGTGGTGTGTGCGCGCACCCCGGTGCCACTACGGCCGGCCCGTCCGATCACCGCCTCCAGTCCAGCCCTAACCTGCTCCTCTTTGTGCGTGATATGGTGTCGTCTGTGTATGGTGTGTCTTGTGTATGTGTGTGTATGTGCTGTTGTGTCCTGATGTGTGTGTGTGCTGTGTGTGTGGCTGTCTGTGTGCTTGTGTGTGTGATGTCGCTGGTGTGGTGTGTGTGTGTGTGTATGTGCTTGTGCGCGTGTGTGCCGCGGGCGGTGCTCGCATGTGTGTATGTACTGTGTTTTGTCTGCGTGTTGTGTGTGTGTGCGGTCTGGGCCTCTGCTTGTGTGCTGTGTGTGTGTGTGGATTGTGTCGTGTTGTGTGTGCGTGCGCGTGTGTGTGTGTGTATGTGTGTGCTGGTGTGGTGTGCTGTTGTGTGTGTGTGTGGTGGTGTGTGTGTGAGCGATTGCATGACCTCCGTTTGCAACGCGGAGGTAATCAATATTCATATGCATGAAGACGCGTGAAATAAAAGGGCTGTAGCTCAGCCAGATTTTTCCAGGGGGTATAAGTTTTCGTTAAACAACGTAACTGAATAATGACAAGGATATTTTTTGTGAAGAAAACGTAACCCACACGTATGATAGAATTAAATTAAAGAGATAGGTTTGTTCTATTACTAATTACATTAAATTGTGTACAATCTATTAGACATATTCTTTTATTTTTCTTCAAAATTTAGCTAAACACGTGCATTACATTAGATTTATTACCGAATATTCGGTAATATATTGACTTAAAAAGAAAAAAATAGCACAATAAGCACCATGCATGGGTGTCTTAAAACTAAGTGTAGCAGAATATTAGACAGAAATTTTGCTCTAGCCCAACATGATGCGTGCGTGCGTTTGTAACTAGCAGAGCTATATATTGAAACAGTAGGTCCGGGCTGCCACTGCAGGGCGTGGGTCTATAGCTGTACCATATACTGAAACAGGAGGTCTTGCAAGGCCTGGACTGCAGCGTTCATAACTAACAGCACAGTAGTACATACGGTAACATAACAAGATGTGTGGGCTCGAGTTACCGCGTGTCGTTCCCATAAATTAACTTTCATGTCGTCGTCGAAATGAGTTACGCGCGCGCGTGCCTGCGAAGGTGCGTGCGTGTGCGTAGACGATGACTTGCTTTGATTTAGTCTACATTTTAATTTGACAATTAATTAACTGATATCGGCATAAAGATATTACAATCCAAAATCAGTCAATCGTTGCTGGGATAGGTAAATAACTGAATGCTTAGCGTATGTGTACAAGCGATTTGCATTTTATCTCTAAAATGAAATTGGCTGTACAATATTGAAAGTTATTATCGAAAACAAGTCTCCGTGCTAGATTTGCTAGAATACTTGGCTCTTTCCATGTGCATCGTGTAGCAGTCATGATTTACATGCGCGAAACCTACTCTTCATGTTAAAAACACGTTGTAAACTGCCCGTTTTGCGTGTTTTGCGAAAATTGTATTTACAAACAATATTATGGGACAATATTTAAAGATAACAAAATATATGGTGTACTCTGCAATGCAAAATTAATCGCAGGTGGCATCACAATTTTTTTTATGTAGCTCTGATTAATTTATGGGGATTTTTTCAGCGTAGTACGGTCGCCAGTGGAAAATGATTTCCAACTGTAATATCTTAAATAAAAAATTAAAACCTGTGACGTAAAACACGTCGCAAAATGGCCGCCCCATTCTCGGGCAATACAAACGTCCAGCGCAAATTTAATGAAACGACAATAATTCGCAAGTGTACGCTAGTGGCTAGATTACCATTAACGGCGATCCCTTCGCGTTAGAGATCGCCGCCCCGTCATCACGATAAAATTTACGACGTGTGTAGCAGCATTTCACGAGCTCCTCAAAAACCGCAAGATTATCACGACCTATTCACACGCACAACTCGGCGACTAAAACACCACACGCGAGCAACAGTTGCACGCTGACGTTGTTTGAAGATCAAATCTACTTTGACATGCATTCGGGCGCGCTTTTTTTCAACGAAACATTACCGCAGGGAAAAAACAACATCAATATCTAATAATGCATTGCTTAATTTTCTCACTAGCGCTTCGACTCATAATAATAGAACGCCAGGCATCGTCGCCGCTGTGATAAGTGATCGATAGAGCGAACTGCTGAAGGCGGTGCACACGCACCCACGCGCGGGCGCCTAACTTAAAGGCATTTAAAACGCCGACGATTGGAACAATAGCAATCGATATCGATCTACGGAGCCCGAATTTCCGCGTTCGTTATCACGAGTAGTAACAGCGGATGTTTTATTATATCGCGACAGGACACAAGGTGTGCGATTTGCAAACATCGCCGCGTTATCGAACCTTAACAGAATCGAATCCGACGACAATGGCATCGGCTTCCGTGAAGTACTATTCCCACATATAGGTTTGATTCCTGTGCTCTGTAAAGAGAATCCAAAAGCGTCACTGAAGGATCGCTTTCGTTTCGATTAACCTGATGTGATAATAGCTGCTGATAATATGACTCTGCGCTCGTCTAAAATATAGATGTCGCAGCGCACGCTAATTTCCCGTTCAACACACACACACACACACAACACCAGCACACACACACACACCCCACACACACACACACACACACACACACAACACACACACACACGCGCACAACACACGCACACACACCACACAACACCACACACACGCACACACACACACCACGACCAGACAAAAACACATACAACACACATGCATCACGCGCGCACACACACACATACACACACACACACACACAACACACACCACACACACACAACAGACACACACACACACACACACACACACATCCACACAACATACACACACATACACAGACACACACATACACAGACACACCCACGCACACACACACACACATACACGCACACACAACACACACACACACACACACACACACACACACACACCACGACGCAGACAAACACAACACACCACACACATGCACACAGCGGCAACACGCGTGGCCAGCGCGCGCGCAGACTTCCCTTCCCCACACAAACAAACAAACACACACACCACACACACACAGCACACACACACCACTACACACACACACGAACACACACACGCGAGCGATTGCATGACTCCGTTTGCAACGCGGAGGTAATCAATATTCATATGCATGAAGACGCGTGAAATAAAAGGCTGTAGCTCAGGCCAGATTTTTCGAGGGGTTAAGTTTTCGTTAAACAACGTAACTGAATAATGACAAGATATTTTTGTGAAGAAAACGTGACCCACACGTATATAGAATTTAAATTAAAAGATAGGTTTGTTCTATTACTATATTAACATTAAATTGTGTCACAATCTATTAGACATATTCTTTTATTTTTCTTCAAATTTAGCTAAACACGTGGCATCTACATTAGATTTATTACCGAATATTCGGTAAATATATTGACTTAAAAAGAAAAAATAGCACAATAAGCACATGCAATGGTGGTCTTAAAACTAAGTGTAGCCAGAATATTAGACAGAAATTTTGCTCTACACCAACATGATGCGTGCGTGCGTTTGTAACTAGCAGAGCTATATATTGAAACAGTAGGTCCGGGCTGCCACTGCGGGCGTGGGTCCCTATACTGTACCATATACTGAAACAGGAGTCTTGCAAGGCCTGGACTGCAGCGTTCATAACTAACAGCACAGTAGTACATACGGTAACATAACAAGATGTGTGGGCTCGAGTAACCGGCGTGTCGTTCCCATAAATTAACTTTCATGTCGTCGTCGAAATGAGTTACGCGCGCGCGTGCCTGCGAAGGTGCGTGCGTGTGCGCGCGTGTGTGTTCGGCGAGTGTGTCGGGTGCGTGTGTGGTGAGTGGGTGTGCGTACGTGCGTGCGGGTGTGGGCGTGCGTGTGTGTGCGTGTGTGTGAGTGTGGTGAGTGTGTCGGGTGCGTGTGTGGTGTGTGGGTGTGCGTGCGTGCGTGCGGGTGTGGGTATGCGTGCGTGTACGCGTGTGTGTGTGGTGTGTGGTGTGCGTGGGTGCGCGCGGGTGTAGGTGTGGGTGCGTGCGGGTGTGGGTATGTGTGCGTGCGTGCGCGTGCGTGTGTGGCGAGTGTGTCGGGCGCGTGTGTGTGGTGTGTGGGTGTGCGTGAGTGCGCGCGGGTATGGATATGCGTGTGTGTGCGAGCGTGAGTGTGTGTAAGTGTTGTGTGTGTGCAGGGATAGTAGGGTCCGATTACGGGTTTATCGATGTCAACAGGCAAACCCGCGGCCTCTTGTACGCGAGCGAACCAAACTATCGACATATGTAGGCTCGAGTTAAACAACAAATTGGCACATAAAGGCAGCCGTATAAACGTAACGAAGCGAAATAGTTAGAAAGTTTATTAAAACTCGTAATCTTATCCGCAAGGTTGGAATTGATGTTATAAAATTTCCGACTGGCCGTAAATTGCGTGCGGAGAGAGCAACAGAGGCAAAATGCGTCTTTCCACGGGGCACATCTTCAGCCCCTCACTGTGCGCGTCTATGGGTCGCACGGGGCGAATTTGTATAGCGCTGAAGAGCAGATACGTCAATAAATCAACAGTGCTGGCGTTTTTTTACGAGCGTGCAGCCGCCTAAATAGTGCAAGGCATGACACTGCATGGATAGAGATAGTATCCAAGAACAGATAAAGCAAGGGAGCGTACACAGCGGCTAAAATGCTGAAACCATGCTGGTAGTATAGTCGAATTAATAAACTTTTCCCGTTTATTTGACATCCTTATGAGTTATCATTATTGCTGTCTTAACCTTGTTTATATAAAACAAACCGCATGTCGCTACGATGCCCTACGCCTGAGATAATGGCGGGTGAAAATCTGGTATTTTCACCGAAACCGACTCGAGATCAGTGTTTACTTGCGTCCCTCACTGAGAGTGTTATAACGTCGGGAAACCCTCGCGTGTCCGAATGACGTCTGTTATTGATTGCAATAGTGATGACCCCCACCTGTGCGCACCTACACGACCACTCACGCTGCGATGTGCTAGTAAACTCTAGGTAGTATTACGTGTGTCAGCGCACTTATGGCGCTACACAGCGCGAGCGGAAGCACACAAAAAAACTGGAAACACTTCGAGTGAGGGGACGCAGTAAACACCTGATCTCGCATTCGAGTTTTCGGTGAAAATACCAGATTTTCAGACCGCTCAACTTATCTCAGCGTAGGGGCACGTGAGGGACATGCGGTTTTTTTACTATGAATAAGGTAAGACAGCCTAATCAATGCATACTGCAAAGGAGTCGTCAAATAAAACGGGAAAATTTATTAATTCGACTAATACTGCAGCATGGTTTCAGCATTTTAACCCTTGCGCTCTCCTTTCTTTATCTGCTCTTTGATTAGCTAATGCCTCGATTGTTAGCGGAGTAAACATTAACTGGATATATATATATATATATATATATATAATATATACAACATGGTGCGTGTGCGTGTGCGTGTGCGTGTGCGTGTGCGTGTGTGTGGGCGTTTCCGTGTGCGTGTGCTTCTATATGGGTGCGTGCGTGGGTGGGTGCATTACTGAGTTTTAATCCCATAAATTTGTTCCTATGATGTTCCTTGTTCGCGTTGTTCTTTAGGTAAAGGTTAGCGCTATCTATTGTACATCATTCCACGACAAACGCATCGGCAAATAAATGCGGCGCAGACCTGTACGAAAAAAGTAAACTTCAAAGCGCCTGGATCCATGGCTCGTTTCTGCACTCGTATAACAATCACGAATCTAGCTGCGTTTAGCCGCGTGTGGCAGGAGCTCCGTGGGCTATTTTTGGCTTCCGTGGCGAAGTGAAATTTGTCTCGTGCACTGTACAGATACAACGATAACCTGTACCACGAGATGTTTTCCGCAGATGCGTACATTCCTTAGATGTCGCCGATGCTATGCAATTACTCGAGATATTGCAACTAGCCGCGAGAGCGACCAGTTCGTGCAGAAGGTTGTTGTCAGGCTGCAGAATTAAAGGATGCGGAGCGGCTACACTGTAAACCATGCGTGTGTACTTGCTGTCGATAATGGCCACCCATATTATGTCCGATGATTAGAGCACCATCCAGATTGCCATAGGTACGGATCTGGAATTGAGCAAAAAATGGAGCCTGCGGTCACGCGCGCAACAGTAGAGTGGTGGACGTCGCATGTCTTAACCGTATAGTTAGGTAATGATCTGGGAAATAATTGCGCACATGTGAGACAAGATAAATTCGAAAGGACTGACGTCATTACACTAAAACTAGGAAACGATCACCGATAGCATCATAACCGTATTTAGCTTCACCGTCCTACTTAATAATGGTTGCGCATTCAATTAATAATAAGATGCCACAACAGCGTAATTATCGCAGCTCCGAGCTGTTTATAACACTTGGCTATAGAAAATATTAATTGTATTACTCACTGTTGCGTTTCCTGTATCGTATTTCATTCGTTCCCCATTTCTAGATATTCATATTTTTGTAAGTATCGTATTTCATTACACTTTTGCAGTATGTGGCCTTCAATATGTTTTGATACGAAGTCGCTAATTACAATCTCGCTCGTCGTATCCAGTGACCATGAGCCAACTGCCTCTGGAACTCACACTATAGAAGAGAGCCACGCAGATGAGCGTCGTGCGATGGCCGTCACCAGGTTTCTATACTGACTACTGACGACCGATTGTACGCAACCCTTTTCATTACGCTGTAAATTAGTATGCATAACTAAAAACCTTTTCGCGCCGTAGTTGGGGATTTCCTGCGTGCGTCGAGTAGCCGAGCAATTAGCGAACGATGCACGCTTGCAATTTCGTAAATTAGGTTAAACGCACCGCTACAGGGGATCGGGTTGCTCATACTTGGCACCTACACCGCGCACGGAGCTTCATCAGAGAGCATCTATAAACAATGTTTGCGTTTATACATGCCTCGTAGCCCCCGCTGCTGCTGACAATCAGACCACACCGCGCCTCGTAGCCCCCGTCGCTACTGACACACC